GCCCTCAGGCCCCAGCACGGGCACAGGCCTGCTGTCGGCTGCTCTCGCCTCCCTGGAGGGGCCGGAGGGGCAGCGGGGGAGGGGAGGACAGCAACCCTCCCAGCGGACCCCGAGCGCTCCGGCCCGGGGGCTGCAGTGGTGCGGCCGCTCACCGCCCTGTCCCACAGGTTCTCGCGCTCGGACGAGCTGTCCCGGCACCGGCGCTCGCACTCGGGCGTGAAGCCCTACCAGTGCCCCGTGTGCGAGAAGAAGTTCGCGCGCAGCGACCACCTGTCCAAGCACGTCAAGGTGCACCGCTTCCCCCGCAGCAGCCGTGCGCCTCGGCCCTGACCCTGACCGGGCCGGAGCCGCCCGACCACCTGCCCCACCCGGTACTTCGTAGCAACAAGTTATTGGCCTCCTTCAGAGGGACTTGTCGTCTTCCAGGCCACCTTCTGGAGCCCGGGGATGCGGACCCAGGCCTCCACCCGCCCCCGCCTGGGGGGGCCCGGAGGCGGCCTGGGGGCCCTAGTGCCTTCCTGCGGCCCGGCCCCTCTCCCGCTGGGCTCCCCGCCTGGGCCAGGGCTAGCACTTGATTGCTGGGGACGAAGACGTGTGCAGTTTCGAAATGTCAGTTCCCGGAGGGAGCGGTGCTGGGAAGAAGGAAGTAGGCCAGACGTCCGGGGCTGCAATGGAGTGTGAGCGTGGCTTTGTCCAAGATGCCTCCCTTGGCCTGACCCCTGGAGGCTACGGTGGGGCGTCAGGGGTGCAGGACCTGGCCTCCGGGTGGATGTGGGATTGGATGACAAGCCCCCTCTCGGCGAGGTGGCAGTGCATGTGCTTGAGTTAAATGTGCAGGGCAGACGTACAGATGCAGGTCTGCCCCAGGGCGATGGTACCGGTGTGGCTCAGCCCCTCATCCTGTTTCCAGACAAATCCAGACGGCAGCCTCCAGGGTCACCTTCAAGAGGAGAGGGGAGCCGCTGCATTGCGTGTGGAAGAGCTAGATAGAGCCTCCCAAAACCCTGATTTAGAAATGCATTCCTTATTTTGTCTAGAAATTAATATCAAATGAACTAGCTTGTTTTGAGAGGTTTATTTCACATCCTATGAATGTATGTAAATAAAATGTACATAGGTGCATCTACATAAAATCTTTTAATAACATGTCAACATTGTGTAAATTTGAAATAAAATCTATAAAGCTGGTGTACATATGTTACAATTATATATATTTTCTTTGGTCCTTCATAAAAATATATTTACTTTGCCAATAAAAAGAAAAAAGACCTTGATACCTGTGGCATTCGTGTGCTGCTTTCCTCTGCTCTGCCAGGAACGGGCGTGATTTTGGGGCTGAGTCTCAGTGTCTGCATCCACAGCACTGGGGACCGTGGTGTGTACCTGGAGGGATACAAAGGCTCCTTGGGTGTCCAGCCCCTGGTCCAGCAGTGCAGGGTCCCCACAGCCCCACTTCCACACCATGGGCTGGGTCTCTGCTCGTTCTGGTTTCCTGGAGGGCTGCCTCCCTTCCACAGACCCACGGCCGCCCCATCCCAGCATGCTGTGGGAAGAGACCGCAGGCCAGGTCCAGCGCACAGGGCCACCGCTCCCCCGAGTTCCTGTCTGAGACCCTGGCTTGGCACTTCCCACCTCGTGTGCAGTGCATTGAGCATGTACCGTGCACTTACCGTGTGCACCGTGGCGGGGTGTGGAGCAGACCGTTCCCCCCTCGAACCCCTCCAGGAGGTGGCACGTCATGGCCACTTGCGATTTCTGAACCGATTAGAAGTCTTGGCCAGGCGGAGGCAGACGCTGGAGGTGGGGGGCGCGTGGAGGGGGGGATGGCCAGTGCATGGGGTTAGGCTGCCGCCTCGACGCAGCCCAGCTGCTCCGAGCTCCAGGGAGATGAGGTTGAGGCCTGGACCCATCTGCACGCCCTGGCGGGCTGGGAGCAGGGCCAGCGGGGACCAGAGAGCAAGGAGGGGCCGAGAGCTAGCAAGGAGAGGCAGGGCAGCCACATTGGGCACCGCAGCGAGAGGGCTGCCCAGTTCTCTGTCCACACGACGTGGAGGCCGTCCTTTCCCGGGGCCTGAGGCACGTCGGGCAGGGGGCTCTCAGTGACACCCTCGGACCTGGAGCAGGTGGCGAAGCTCCGTGGGTTTGCAGCGGAGAGGTGGAGCGAGGCGTGTGCGTGTGTACGTGTGCATGTCTGCACGGGTACTCTGTGCGTCTACTGAGGTGGAGGCCATCGTCCCCGCTGACCTGGGAACCTCTCGCTACAGCTGTCTTTCCTGTCGGTGGAGCTGGCAGGTGTGCCCAGCACAGCACAGGGCATCTGAGAATGGGCACCCCCATCCCAACTGGCCCTGGTCCTGGGGAAAGGACTCGGCCTTGTGACCTCTGCCCTTTGACCCTGACCGGACGTACTCTCTGTGGCCAAACATGCTCTGGGGAAGTGAGGCATTGATTTCCAGGTGCATTAACGTAGAGCTTTCTTCATCCATAAAGAAGCAGTGGAGCCTAGATAAGAGGGACACGGGCCACCGGGATGGTCACACTGGAGGAGCCCGTGAGCACACAGATGTGTGGGGCTGGGCGCTGACCCGGGACACCGCTCACCTGCTCTCGGTGTCTGTCCCCAACAGCCACCCACTCAGAGCCGCGGCCCCCCGGCTGGCCCTCTGTCCGGGCCGAAGCCAGGCTGGCCGTGTGTGCCAGGTGGTGAAGCCATCCCCCTCTGCCTGGGCTCCAGACCCCCTTGGGCGTCTGCGCTGGTCAGGGGCGCGGAGGGAAGGGGCGGCGGTGACGAGGACCACCTCTTGACCCTCGCCCACCCTCTGGGGGAGTTTCTTGACCCCGCGGAACGGGCGTGACAGCCCCAGGTGGCAGCCTGGTGCTGACTGAACAGCCGCGAGGACCCTTTCCAGGGCGTGAGCCTGAGTCTTGGCCGGACGGAGGGCCGGGAGCCGGGCCTCAGTTGTCCTGTGCCGTGGCCCCTGGCAGCGCCACAGAGTCCAGAGCGCTGTGGAGGCCCCTGGCTTGGCCACCTGTGGGAGACCCCCCCCACCACCTTTGTCACCCTTTGTGACTTGTGTGGCCGGAAGAGGAGTGTTTTTCTTGGCCTGCAGGCCCAGTGTGCCCACAACAGTGCATAATAGGAATCTGGAAGGTTGCGGAGCAGAGAGCCAGCCTGAGCAGCCCGGCACCGCCCGGCCCTGCACGGGGCCACCCCGCACGGCGGGCAGAGGCCGAGGAGGCACATCTCCGGAGACCATGCCAGGCAGCGTGGGCTGGGCTGCCGTAACAAAGGAACCCCAGCACCGCGGAAGCGTATTTTTCTCCGTTGAAACAGCCCTGAGGCTCCCGGGCACCTTCTTCGTTGCCCTCGAGCCTGGCGCCCCGGGGGCCCCGCGCCCGCCCGCAAAGAGCAGTCCAGGGCTTGTGCTCCCCCCACACAGCACAGGCCTGTCCACTGATGTCCCCTCGGCCAGGATTAATCACACAGCCTCATTCGCTGCAAGGAAAGCTGGACAACATAGCCTTAATCTGGCAGGTTCTGAGCACAGCTAAATTTGGGGCTTCCATGACGGGGAAAGGAGCGCAGAGGAGGGGTGCGGCTTCGGCCACACGCCCGCCCACCGGGTAAGTCGTGGTGGCTCCATGGCTCTGTCCACGTTCTCAGAATGGGTGTCACGGCAGGTATGGGACCACCAGTCAGGCCTCCAGAGACAGCAGGGTGTCACGAGGGGAAACGCTGCAGGCGTTTTGTGTGACAAGCACGACTGCAAACGGCAGGTCCCTGCCTCATACGGACGAAAGTAAACAAGAAACAAACCCTGTGATGTCACCATTGTCTATGCCCGGAGGGGCCCAGAGTCCATACAAGTGCCACGGGGTTGGGGGACCGAAGCAGAAAGGCCCGGGGTCGGGGCTTGCAGGGGTTGTAGCTTTCCTTATGCTCCATCGTTCAGGGTCCTGCAGGCCTGGGCAGTGGGCACAGCAGAGGAGCTGCCAGGAAGGGGCCTGCTGTCTGCTCGGCAGCCGATGGGACAGGGGCTCTGAACGGCATGTGAGGGCCCGAGCGTGGGGCAAGGTCGGGCTCTGACAAACACCAAGGCTGAAAAGATCTTGCTGTATTTGAGGTCAGGCAAGAGGGATACTGGACGCCAGGGGGCTGTTAGGAACACACGGATGGTGGCCTAGAGAGCAGCGTTCAGAAGACGGAGGCGCACACCTCGGAGGCTCACGGCGGGACCAGAAAGGCATCTGCGGAGGTTTCCTGTAGTCGCCAACAGGTGAAAAGTCCCGTGGCTCCTGGGAGGGCACGAAGAGATCCCAGGCAGAAACAGGAGAGCGCCAGGATGGGGTAGACAGAGCGATGGGAGGGATGAAGGGGCATCTCAAGGGAAGAAAAAGGGCAGCAGCAGAACCAAAACCTGCGGTAGGTGTGCTGCCCTGGAGACGAACTCACACAGACCTTCCAGAACCCGGTGGTGAACGAAGGAGGGACATGAGGGAGACAGCTGTGGAGGGCAGAGAGCAGGGGGCCGAGAGCTGGCGGCTCCGGATCAGAGTCTGGGTCAACTGACATAGATACTGACGCATAACATGTATAACATACGAATATGTAACATGTAGGATACACTAATACACAACATATATAATACACGAATGCATAACGTATGGCATACCCATACATAACATAACATACTGATACCTAACACCTATAATGCACTAATACATAACCTGTATGATACACTAATACGTAGTATATAATACTTGAATATATAACATGACACACAAATACATAACATATAAGGTACTCATACATAACACTGGTAATGTAGTAATACATAACATGTATAATAAATACACTAATACATAACATTTAATATACTGATATAACATATGTACTATACTAATATATAACACGCTAACATGTAACATATATACTAATATGATTACAATACACTGATATATAACTAAATGATATAATGATAATTATAGCTCTGCCCACACATAAGGCAAGTGGAGAACCAAGACAATAACCCACCGGGGAGAGGGGGGCAGGAGAGAACGGCGGGTGGGTCACAGAGGGGACAGTGGAGTCCAGGCTGGGTGAGCCCGCAGCCTCGTGGAACCTCAGGTACATCCGCCTGTGTGAAGGGCTGTGAGAAGATGCAGTAAGTCAGCACATTTAAAACAGCAGACTCGCTGCACGACCGACAAGAGAGAGACTCAGACACCAAGGAGGGCATCCAGCAGAGGAGCGTCCAGATAAGCACTCTGGGCTGGTACTCAGCTCAGGGGGAGGGGCCTGGGGGCCTTGCAAGAGGAGCCCCTGGTAGAAGGAGGTCTGGATGCTGAGACCCAGGAGGCTTCCGGCCGCCCTGGGTCCTTCCCCGGCTGGCTCAGGCGCTCTGACCCCAGGAGCCGCGGGCGGAGACCCAAGCCTGGCCCCGGGGTTGCTCTTCCTGCTGGTTCCTGTGTCGGTTTTGTGAACAGGCCTCGACTCGGAGCTGAGCTGATCCTGTAAAACCCAGAGCAGCCTCAGAATGGGGTGGCTCTGGGAACAGTGAGGAGCGGGGTCGCCCAGCTTTGTCACAAGGTCACGTCAGAGGTCGGCGGACCAAGACGCCTCACTGGAAACATCCGACTCCAGAGAGAAAAGGCAGCACGTACCTGTGAGTCAATAACTGCAAGCGGCTTTTAAAATCTGAATGCAGGCGCCAAATACCGCTACAGGAAGAGAAGCAGGTGTCTTCAGTGTACAGGTAGTCACGTCACGCCAGTCTGGCTCCGACCCAGTTAGACAAACACGGGAAGGTGTGCAATGCTTGAGGTCTCCTGTCCCCCAGAGAAGCCTCTGCCTTGAAAAAAGCAATTTAGACCACATGGTTTACTTGTTCGTAGACTGTGCTCCATGGGCACAGGATTTGCTACAAGCCCAGATCCTAGAATAAATATGATCACATTGAGCTATAAATTCTGGTTTCTGGGCGCCACCATTTACTTACCAATTATATTTAATGGTACATTATTTACCATTAATAAGCTTTTAGATTGTTCCCACGTGTTTGCTGCGATAAATAATGATATAAAACAGAACAGACTTTGCACACAGCTTCATACACGACTTTTAGTGGTGGGCTTGCTGGGTCAAAGAGCAGGCACATAACTTTTGCCAAATCATCATCCAAAAATCAACTGTGCTGGGAACATAATTTACTCACTCACTCATTTTATTATCTGTCTTCCCCACCAGAACATAAACTCCTCCGGAATAGGGGTTTTGCCTGTTTTGTTCGGTGCTGTGAGCCCAGCTCCCAGAACAAATATTTGTTGAGCAAATGACGTGGGTGGTAGCAAGAGCTTTTGCTAAAATTGATGGGATAAGATACAGAGGTTAAATACACTGTTTAAAGTTACACAGTTAGTGTGGTCGGCAGAATAATGGCCCCAAGGATGTCCACGTGCTGACCTGCAGAACCTGGGAGTGCATTCCCTTACGGGGCACAGGAGCCTCCGCAGGTGTGACCAAGTTAAGGATCTTGACGCAGGGAGATACCCGGGATTATCCAGTGAGCCCGGGGTAATCACGTGGGTCCTTTCAAGCGGGTCAGAAGGAGGCGTGGCAATGGGGGCAGAGGTCAGAGGGAGAGGTTGGACGCTGCTATTCCTCAGGCTTTGCAGGTGGGGGAGGGGCCACAAGCCTAGGGACGCAGGCGCCTCCAGGAGCTGGAAAAGGCAGGAGACTTTCTGCCCTGGAGCCTCCAGGAGGGACCAGCCCTGCCGACGCCTTGATTCTAGGACTTCTGACTTCAGAAGTGTGAGCGGTCGTGGGAATGTGTTGCAGCGGCGGCAGTAGGAAGTCAATCCACGTAACCATGGAAGAATGAAAATAAACATGTAAGTCCCAAGCGCGAGCTGTGCAGAGGCGGGAAGGAGAGGGGAGGGAGCGGAGGCGGCTGAAGGTGCCTCTCTCCTCTCAGGGCGCCGGTGGGGTCGAGTCAGCAGCTGCACGCGGGTCGTTTCGTTTCAGCTGCGCGTAGGGACTGAGCCCCTAGAAAAGGATGGAAAGCAAACACAGAATCCGCCCCCGACGCTGAGGCGGCGGGCGGGGCTGCGTGACCTCCGCGAACGCACCTGTGCAACCCGCTCTTGCACGGCACTCCGTAAAGGTGCGCGGACGCTCCTCGCGGCTGCGTCCACCCGCCCCCGCCCCCACCTCCACCTCCACCTCCACCTCCACCCCCACCCCCACCCCCGGGAAGTGCAACCGGGCGGTCGGAGTCGGAGCAGCGGCGCAGCGCCCGGCGCAGGTGCGCGCGGAGGGGGGCGTGGGCCACACCCCCTTCAATCCTGGGGACCCACTTACGTCCTCACTCGGCCCCCATGCGTGCGGCGCCACCTGGCCGCGGGCTAGCCGGGTGCTTCTCTGCTAAACGTTCTGGGATGTTCACGCATGTGTTTTGAGCCTTCTGTATGCCTTGCAGATCTCTGTGTGTGCGGGGCGCAGCTCTGGCCGGGAGCCAAGGCCTGAGCGCTTTGAGGGGCTCCACACCCCCAGGACGTGGCTTCTCCGCTGTGTCCCTGCTCCTGGAGCCTCAGCTGCCTCGTCGGGTCCATGGGGGTTGACAAGGACCCTTGCCAATACAAGCTTCAGGTTTCAGGGCTCCCATGGAGGTTACTCCTCTCGGACCTGCCCCCAGTGGGAATTGAGGGGCTCGGCTCCCCTGGGTCCAGTGTTGGGAGCGCTCAGAAGGCAGGGGGAGGTGAGGACCACCGACTGAGGCCTTGCCACCAGCTCCCGCCCTCTCTGGCTGTCACCTGCGGGGATAAGTCCCTCCCCGGGTCCCAGTCTGCTCACCTGCCCAGCAGGTATACTGGCTGCTGGGCCTTCCTGCCTTCCTATGGGGCTGAGGGTGAAATGAAGGAATTGCAGTCCTGACATCGCCAGAGGGGTGTGCGGTGGGCTGAGGAACTGGGCTGCACGTGTGCTATGATCTCTCCGTCCCGTCCACGCACTGGGCCCCTTAAACCACAGAAGGCATCTGTCTTCAGCCACCCTAACTGGAGACAGTCTCGAAAGGGGATCCTGCAGAGCGCTGTTTAGGGCAGCCAAGTCGACAAAGCCTGTCTCAGGAACGCAAGTGCATTTAACATTTGAAAAAAAACAGTCACTATGTTAATAGATTAAGTAAGGAAAGCCACATGACCATCTCAGTAGAAACAGAAAAACTGTTTGAAAAAATCAATATCCTATCAGATTTTTTAAAAAATCTTAGAAAACTAGGAAAAAAGGGAACTTCCTCTGTCTGATAAAGGCCACCGCTAACGCTGTATTTTATGGTGGAAGACCATTAAATTCCTCAGACCAGAAAGAGACAGCAGGTCCACTTCCACCACTTTAGCCCACTTTGTGCTGGAGGTTCTATCCAGTGCAGTGTAGCAAGAATAAGAAACAAAATGCGTTGAGGTTGGAAAAGAAGTAAAACCATCTTTATTTGCAGACGATGTGATTGCCTATGTGGAAAACCCAATGGAACATACATAATAGCTCCTAGAACTATTAAGTGAGTTTAGCAGGATTGCAGGATACAAATCAATAAACAAAAATCAATTCCTCTATACTAGCAACAACCAGAAATTGAAAGAAAAAATCAGCACCATTTATAGTAGAACAAAAAATATTAAACTTAGGGATAAATCTAAGAGGCTAAAAACTGCAAAATATTTTTAAAGAAATCAAAGGAGACCTAAATAAACAGAGAGTCTCGGAGGTTCCTTGCTTGGAAGACATCATTATTATGATGTCATTTGTCCCCAGATTGATCCACAGATTCAAGGCAATCTCATTCAAATTCCCAGCAACCTTTTTCATAGACACTGGCTGGTTTTAATGCTCACATGGAAACGCAACAGGACTGGAACAGTCAAAACAGCTCTGAAGAATGAAATCGCGGGCCTAAAGCTGCCTCATTCTAAGCAATCTTTCATGCACTCATTTGCCATCCTTATATCTTCCTCGGTGCAATATCTGTTCAACTCTTTGTCCTTCTTTTAAATATTGAGATGTTCGTTTTCTTTACTACTTTCAGTTTTGAGCAGAGGGGCAACTCTGGGTGACGTGTCCAAACCTGCGATGGAAACTCTAGGCCTGCCTTGTGGGCTCCCTGGTGGTCAGCCGCCAGGGGACAGGCCTCGATGGTTAAAGCCCCATTGGGGGACAGACAGGAGAGGTGTGAGCCCCCCGTGGTGCAGGCGAGGCTGTGAAGCTGACCACCTTTCTGGGCGGAAGGAGTGGTGACGGGGAGGGACGCGGTTGGTCTGGCCACGGGCGCTAGAGGCACAGACGTGGACAACTTTTCACCCAACAACTCCCGGATGAGTTTTTTTTTTTTTTTTTTTTTTTGAGAACAGCACACAGGCAGCGGGCTGGGGGCACAGGCCTGAGTACAAAGGGCTGGATTTGGTTCCCAGCTGCCACTCCTGAGATATGTTACTCGGGGCTGTGGAAGCCACGGTCTGTAAGGGGAGTGATGGCGGTGTCTGCCCAAAGTTGTTCTAAGGGTTGATTGAGCTACGTGACAGCCTGAGCTACTGTTACCTTCTTTTACTGTTTGATTTTTTAAAACAATGACCTGACATCTAAAGTGTATGTCTGGGGCTTCCCTGGTGGCGCGGTGGTTGGGAGTCCGCCTGCCGATGCAGGGGACACGGGTTCGTTCCCCGGTCCGGGAAGATCCCGCATGCGGCGGAGCGGCTGGGCCCGTGAGCCATGGCCGCTGAGCCTGCGCGTCCGGAGCCTGTGCTCCGCAGCGGGAGAGGCCACAGCGGTGAGAGGCCCGCGTACCGCCAAAAAAAAAAGAAAAAAAGAAAACGGCCCCAAACTGAGAAGCCGTTTGAGTCTTCTGCTTCCTTCACTCTTCCCTGGCGGCTCAGCCTCCGAAATCTATCCTCTGTCCCTCACTTTCTGCTTCTCTCCCCGCATCGGCCTCTGCCACCCAGCAGATACTGAACCTTTTACGCCATCTCTGAGTAGGCCACGCCCCTCTTGGAATCGCCTGCCTCGCCGGGGGCCCACAGGTTCCCGATGAGTCTACCCACCCCCCCCGAGCTGTTTGTGTGACGCCCTGGGGTCCCACTTCAGCGGGACCTCCCCGTTGCCGGGGCCGGAGGAGCCCACTCTGTGTCTCACCCTCCCGGCCCGCTTTCTTGAGGTGTTTATCCCCGCGTGAGAGTCCTGTTTACTGCATCCTGTATCGATTGACCTGGGTCTTCTGGAACGTCTGCTCCGCCGGGGGACGGGGACCCACCACAGTGCCTCAACCGCACCTCCAGTGTCCACAAGGCTCTGAAAATGGACATTCTGCCCATAACCATTTGCCAGAAAACCCTGAACTGACCTGGACTCATGTGGTGGCCAGACCTGATGGGAATGGCTGGAGCCACTGTGGTCTGAACTTACCCTGTGGTCCGAATGTTCTCGAGGGCCGTAAGGGATGTTGATGTGTTTGATTGTGGGGGGCTAGCCTCCATCCCTGGAGAGCGTTACAGGCACAGAGTGTACGCACCGTCCCAGCTTCCGAAACTAGGCATCATCCAAGTTCAAAATCATCTGGTCCCTGGGATCCCTGGTCTCTCCGCTTTCATCCTGTGCGCCCTGGTCCTCGTGCTCTGGGCAGGAGGCTTTATTCTACCGGGAGAAGCACAGGGTTAAATCTGTCACATTTCACGGACTGTACTACTCTTGTAGTTCAGAGGGAGACAGGAGATGATGACGAAAGTGTAGCCCAATGTTAACAACAGGTCGCTCTTGGTGAAGACAGTGAGTGTCTCTGGACTGTCCTCAATCCCACACGTTCTTCTGCAGGCTTGGAACTGCTTCCACATGAAGAGTTAGAAGCCCACCCATGTCCTGTGTCACTCCTGCCTGCCCCTCAGCATCTCCCATGTAATCTCAGCTTGTTGTCTTATTACCATTAATATCTTGTTCCACAGATTCCCAGGTTTTCTAGAATCTTATTGAGATAGCTTTGCAAATGCTGTCTGAAATTTACATTTTGTTTTTGTAGTCAGTCATTTCAACAGATAGCTCTTCCTCTGTGAGTATAGTTCTTTGTCAACTTTCTTAATTTCTTTGGTCCTCTGTCTTCCCTGATCTTTGCAGAGGCCCCACTTACCTCATTTACTGAAACACAAAGCCCCCAGGCTGATGCTCAGGGGTGAACAGTGAATGGGCTGCCCTACCCCGCAACCATTTCTTGGCACTTCCTTGCTTCCAGGAGCCCCTGCTGTCCCGGGGGTGGGTCTCCTGATCCTGTGGTCTGACTGTCCTTCCATGAAGGAGTGTATTCCTACAGCTCGGAGCAGCCTGCTGGGATTCCCTTGCCAGCCGGACACCCATCGCCCAGAGCGCAGGCTGGAGGTGGGCGCGAAGCAGCTGTGGCACACGCAGCCAGCACACATGGCACGGGAGCTTCTGATGGACCTTGAGCAATAGTTCCAATTCCAGCACTGTCGAAACTTCTCTGTGTTTCACAAGCATTGCCTCTGTGATGTCTGCACAGGGGAGATTGTGCCATGAGTTACTGAAGTGTTGCTGTCAACTCTAGTGCTGAACTGAATTTCTTTAAAAACAGAAAAGGAGGGAGGGAGAGAGAAACGAAAGACTGGGTGACAGGGCTGTGGCTCTGTCTGAAAACACCAGATCTGTGAACGGCTTCCTTTCCTTAGACTCACCCTGACCCTTTCCTGCTCACCACTCGCCACACACCCGTCACTTGCAGCGTTAAGGTTGCGCTGAGGCACCCCGTCTGGTTTCACACCCAGGGAAGCAGGGTCCAGCCGGACAACATCTCAGCGGGCCTTTGGGGGTGGCTCGCGCTCCCCCCCGGGCAGGTGGGAAGAGGAGCGGGTATTGGTCCCGTCTTCCCAGGGCCGGAGAGCCTCAGACCCTGGGGCAGGGACCCTGGGAGTCCTGGAGGTGAGCTCCGGGACCCTGAGTGGGAGGAGACCGATGGGAAGAGCTGACATGGGACCAGGGAGCCACGTGCCTGCGCCCTCAGGGCAGGAGCTGACTCCACGCAGCGCCAGCTCCGGGGAGGGGGGAACCTCCATCTGGGGCCTCGGGCTGCGGGTTCCCCACCCCCCACCTCCATGTGGATGTGACCCCGCATGGACGGGCGGCCGGGCCTGTGCCCTGGGCCAACAGAGGCACAGAGCCATTCGGCACCTTGAGCCCAGGAGCCCGGCATCAGAGCCTGTGTTCAAAGCCCCAGGGGCCAAGGGACCTCCTCCAAGGGTCTCCCCGCAGCCGAGACGCCCTCATTCTAACCCACCCCCGGGTGCTTTCAGTCCCTCCACAAGGAGCCTTCTCTCCCGCCCCAGCTCAAGCCCCACCGTCCTGCTCACCTCCTCACGGGGTCCCCTCACCCCTCAGTGCTTCTGGCTGGAGGTCCTGAAACGGTGGAGCAAGCCCTCTGGCGGCCCCTTGCCCACAGCAGCATGTCCCAGAGAGCAGTCGCTTCCCTCGCCAAGGTCGTGACTTTGGCCATGTGCTTGAACCACGTGTGTTATCGTGCACTTAACCTTGGTTTTCAAATCAACTCCCTACTTAAACATACTTATTTAAAAGGAAATGCCGTAGGTCTCCCATACACGGAATACGAGTGCTTTCCTCATAGACCTTAAAATCAATGGAAAACGATTAAAATTTAAAACACTCATCCAAGGACCACCTACAATCAGGAACACTTCCTCCTAATCCGAAATCACACGTTCATCTACAATTGTGTGTGTGACCCGCTGTGAACATTCAGCCTTTCAAGGAAGTAGCAAAGTAAGCAAAAGTAAGCAAAGTAAGTAGCATAAGGAGACAAAAACATACTGAAGAGGGTTAAAAGGGTTCGGAAGGGAGGTGCCTCTGAAATGACCACCTGCAGGACCACAGGAAGATGGCAGCCGTCGCCCTGCCTTTTCACTGGCAGCCTCTCCAGAGTCGCCCTTTTGGGTTTCCGTCTGAGTTTTCAGTGGGCAGTCTTTTCATTTGTTTACCTCACTTGTTTGGCTCTCATCGTAGATGTCAGCTCCCTTCCGGCAGGGGCTTTTCTGTTTTTATTTCTCTTTTTTCACAGCGATAGATGAAAATTTGCTGCCTGGATGAATGTGGCGAGTTTTGTTTTTTTCCTGTGTTGATGAGAGCTTGGAAAGGGTTGCAGCCAAAGCTGCTCTAGTCCATTTCTAAAGAGACGATCTGTTTGTAGTTATTGACACAATGAAGTTTTGAAATGTTTTCTGGTCAAACCCATTACCTTTTCCTTATTGTTTTAATCTTTGGTTTCATGTTAAGTTCTCCCTCACCCCCAAGATTACATAAATATTCACTGGAATATGCTTCTAGTGTTTTCATGGTTTCATTTTACGTTTGAATCTTTAATCCATCTAGAACACGGAACAGGAATCTAATTTTATTTAATTTCAGCGGGTTGGCGATTTGCCCAAACTGTTAATTGAAAAAGGCCCTTGCTTTTTCCACTGATTTGAAAGGTCATCTTTTCATGTATCAAGTGTTTATATAACTTCAGGCTGACATGTAGACTTTCTATTGTTTTCCATTCCATTCTTGCATCAGGAGTTCAGTGTTTAAAGGATTTTAGCCTGCATCTCTGATAATCCCATCCCCCACCCTCTTGCTTTCCTTTTCAAATATTTCTGCTAGAAAATGGACATTTTAAAAATATTATGGCTTTCTATCCAGAGACACGTCTTTCTCTCCATCGACTCAATGATTTTTTATTTTTTTTCGACTCGATTTTTATTTCTCAGGTGAGAGCTGGAGCCTCCTGTCCTGTGTGTGTTTCCTTGTTTAGTTTATTCCCGGGATTCCTAATTTCTCATTGAATTGTGAATGGGATCTTTTTTCCAATATATTTTGTTACAGTTATTTTAGGGCGTTTGGCAAGCCACGGGTTTTGTGTATTTATTTTGTAACTGTCCACCACACTGAATTCTATTTTCAGCTGGAACAGCCTTTCCCCCCGTGGCTTCCCTCGGAGGTGGCAGCCCAGGCAGCAAAGGCTGAATCCCGGCACTCGCCCCGGATGGCTCCGGCTTGGTGTGGGGAAGGAGGCACTTTGCCCTCCATCGGCATCCAGGGGTCCATCTCCAAGCAAAATATTTTTTCCGTGAAGGAGCTTCTTTTACGTCAGTTGGTATTTTGGTCAGGACTTACAGAATGTACTCTGCAACAAGTTCAAAACACACCGCTTTCTAAAACCAGGCCCTTTCCAGCGAGATCAACAACAAACGTGTTACTTTTCTCACACCTCGGACATGCAGGAAAATGTGTGCTCAGGGAGCTGGCCGAGCGCCCGCCTGGGGAAAGTGCCAGGCGGGATGAATGCGCTGGGGCAGGGGCTCGGGTGGTTCTTGTTTGCCAGACTCTGAAGAGCTGCTAAGAGTCCCTCCAAACCCCACGGGCGCCCAGGGCCTTGGAGGGAGCTGGCCGCCTTTCCCCAGAGGACGGAGGGGTGTCTGCAAGGCAGAGCCCAACGGTTTACCCGCTGGGTGCACCACCCACCGTGTTCTGTTTCCAGCCTCACGCATGCCCGTGTGGGCACCAGGAGGGAGGTGCCGTTCTGCCCTCTTTAAGCAGAGGGGCTGCAGGTTCTTATGTTAAGTATTTGCTCCAGGCCTTGTAGGCAGTCAGGGACAGAACCTGGGTTTGAACCCAGTTTAAATTGGCGATTCTCTAACATTTTTGGTCTGGGATCCCTTTTTAAATTAATTAATTTTAATTAGAATGGAGAAACGTTGAAGCGCAGGGATACACAGCACACGTCTCATTGGCTGTCGGAGCTGCGACTGCACGACAGCGCGTCACCCTGAAGATGCTGCTGTACCCTCAGGAGAGGTGAGAGAGGAAAACACCCCCCGGCACTATCACGAGCATGGTTTCACCCCAAGACCCCCTGAAAGGGTCTTGGGGGCCCAGAGCTCTCTGGACCAACGTCAAGAACCACCGCTGTAAACTGCAGAGCAGCAAGCCTCTGTGGGCACAAATGGAGGTGACTCAGCTTCTCCCTGGGAGGACGGGTCCAGACAAGTCCATCGTGATAAGGAGACGGGGAGGAAGAAGGAGAGGGTGAGGTGGGGACCAGGGGGCCAGCGCATTTGCCGAGTGACTCCTGCCACTGCCCCCGGGGACACGAGGACCACCCCTGCCCACCGACGCTGAGCAGACAAAGCCTGCCCGGTCACAGTGACCTGCTGGAATGGCGCAGTGATCTGCCCAGGTCTTCCAGCCCAGGAGAGGCCCCTGCCCGGTGCGTGGCCGATGCCTGGCTGGCTGAGCGGGACCCGTAGGCCCCCCTGTTCCAGCATCTCTCCTGTCAATCACAGAACCTCTAGGCATCGTTCTGGCTAATCCGGGGGTCATGGGGCCTCAGGTGGATGGTGGCCTGCAGCGGACAGGTGGACACATGACTCTTTTCTCTGCCTTTTGAAGATGGTCCTCTGCTGTCCACCACCTGCCTGCAGTGTGATGCTAGGGCCCATCCAGCGCCCCCCACAGAAGCCTTTCTTCACGTAGCCCCTGTGCCAGCTGCTCCCCCAGCCCCCAGCTCCCCCCGGCTGTCCTCAGACACACAGCAGAGCCTGCACCCTCGGCGGCCTGGCCCCGGCCAGGGCCAGCAGAACTGGGCACTGAGTTGTCTACTCCACATCACTGCTGCTCAGTGCTGGGACGAGGCCACAGCTGTCCCAGCCATGCTGGCCGTGCCCTCAGCCAGAGCCCCCTCTCCTCCACACCACCTCCCTGTCCACCTGGAGCCGAGTCAGATTCAGCTGCTTCTCGCCTGTTCTCTCTGCCACCGTGTCCAGTGGGGCCATGACATCCCTCACGCCAGAGTGTCCCGCCAGCTGAGCTCCCACTGCCTATTGGCCGGGCACAGGTGGGATTCGGGCCCCGTTCTTGGGGCAGGCACAGCTCAGCTGGGGAGGTGAGATCCTCCCCAAAACAAACGGGACAGCACACGCAGGGCCAAGAGGAGTGGCAGGGGCATAGGGGGCTTTGGAGGAGGGCGGCACTCAGCTGAGGGAGATGTGGGCATCAGGCATGCAAAAACTCCCCTCAGTGGGCCAGGGCTTTGCAAAGGCTGTCGCTGCTGTGATGATGCTACCAGGCACAAGCACCTTCATCTCTGAGGCTCAGTCTTCCCATCTGTACAATGGGAGTGACAACAAAACCTATAGCGGGCCTGCAGGAGAAGACTACCTGTACTTAGGCTGCCCAAAGGCCCCTTGGCCGCCTCTGACCGTCACTGCCCCCTGGGCCCGGTGCACCGTGGTGCCGTGTCCGAACACAACCACAAGGCCACCTGTGAGCAGCCGGCGGGTTCCCGGGAAGCAGCTCACGTGCTCCTCGCCTCCAGCGCTGGTCCTGCGCCCAGCCAAGCGGAGCCTCGTTCTTCCTCCGTTTAATCACTAACTCTCCGCTCCGTCCTCCCACCCCAGCTCGAGGGAGTGTTATGAATGGAATGTACCGATTCCGGCCTGAGCGCGCGCAGGAATGCGCCCGACCTCCCCCGGGCGCGGCGCTCCGCCCAGAGCCCTGCCGGATGCGCCGCCGCCCGCAGGGGAAGGGCACGGGGGTGCTGGGGGGTGGGCCGGGGGGGGGGGGGGGTGGGGGGTGGTGCTGAGCGCGTCTGGGGGGCGACGTCCAGGAAGGCGCTGGCCTCCGGGGCGGCGGGGGCACGCGCACCTCAGCCCAGCACGTGCGCAGGGGCGAGCGCGCGCGCGCGCACACCAGAATGCACCGACACAGTAAGAGGAACCCACGGCCTTTGTGCACAAGCAGGCACTGCAGGTGGGACACAGACAGTGGTCTATACCCTCCACACCATGCTCTCCACAAACAAATACACATAGTAAGGGTCTTTGCACACACAGAGCCATGCATTCACAGGCAAGATGCTTGCATACATGTGCACTTATGCATTGCAGTGGAGCGCACAGACAGAGAACCTTCAAACACACTTGGAGGGAGGCCCTGGGTGAGCAGCCTGTCTCCTTAGTGGACGAGCCAAAGGCAAAGGGCCTGAAGTCCTGGGCACAGAAAACCACGTCCAGCTCCCCCCGGGGTTGGGGGGGCGGCGGCGGAGCACACTTGATTCCTTTCTGGCCCAGCCCAGCCCCTGCCCTGCTGGCCTGGCCTTTGGGGCCCGAGGCCTCCTGGGAAGAGCTGCACAAGGGGCTGTTGGGGGCCAGGCTTCTTCCTCAGGGGCTCCCGCTAACTGAGGTTTTTGTGTTTGTGCCTTTGTGCTTGTGTCCAACCGTGACAGGAGGGCTTAAGGAGTGGCAGCCGCTGCCCAGGGAAACGGAGCTCCAGTAGGGCCCCTGGGCCTGACCGCACAGCTTGGGTCCTCCCCCCAGCCTCTCGCTGCCACGGTTGTCAGCCAACCCTCCGGTCCCTGTGGGCTCCGGCACTTCCGTGGGGAAG